ATGTGTTTTGAATTACTGTAAATTACTGCAATTGCCAAGTGGTCTTTCTAGAGTCTTTCTTGGAACTAAGAAATACAGATTTTTAAAATCCATTTTATGCCTTCATTCAAGTGTGAGCACACACATTTTCTTAGGAGGTTTGGGATTAAAATTCTTTGGATAATAATGGATCCTCTTTAAGAGTTAAGAAGGAAGGGGGAGAAAGTTATATCAGTGTCGTTAGTGGATTTTAATTCCTATTGGTTTACATGTTTTTTCCTTAATGTAAGATACTCTGCATTAGTTCCCTATCCAAAGAAAGTGAATTCTGGCTACTTTCATAAATGCCCTGTATTTCTACAAGATTTTTACATTTTTCTTTCTTTAGCATATATAAGCATTCCTGTTTGCTTTTTTAGCAGGTTATATTTGGGGATTTTTGTAGGTTTTAATGCACTTATATAGGGTGATACATGCCAGTAAGCATTTGGTCTAGAGGATATGTATTTTTTTAAATTGTATTCTTGTTTGTTTTATTATTATTATTTTTTTCCTTTTTGGGTCACACCCAGTGATGCACAGGAGTTACTCCTGGCTCAAGCACTCAGGAATTACACCTGGTGGTGCTCGGGGCGGGGCGGGGGGGGGGGCACATATGGGTTGCTGGGAATCGAACCCTGGTTGGTCGCATGCAAGGTAAATGCCTTACCCGCTGTGCTATCCCTCCAGCTCATGTTTGTTTTATTCTGACCCCATCCAGTCTTGCTCACTCTTCTAGTGGTGCTTGGGGAACCATTCAGTGCCTGGATGAAATCTGTGCTTGCCTGTCTGGTTTGCCCACTAGTCCTTTGAGCTGTGTCCCTGACCTGCTATAGAATTTTAATGAGAGAGGGGGGGGAAGGGAAGTTTAAGGCTTAATAAAAAAACTTGTATATTGTATACCCGACAGTTCCATACATAAAGCGTAGAGAATTTTTTTTCTGCAAGCTTAGCAATTTCTGAACAAGCATACGGGGATACAGATATTATAAGTACTGCAACAGTAAGATAACTGTTGATCTCATTATGACAAATATAGGTAAGATTATTGTTTGGCTTCATTATTATGAGACCTTTTTACAACTTTCCTTCTTTGCTTCCTCCTTCCTTCTAGAAGCTGACTTTCCCCTCCCCCCTTTTTTCTTTTTATGCGATCTAGCTCTTATTTCTTGATTTGTACTAACATCTTAGGTTTTTTTTTTTTTTTAGTTTTATTATGGTTTAGGTAATTTGCTTACAATACAGTTTTTGGACTTGCAAAAACCTGTACCATCACCAAAAGTGTCCCCAAGACTTGTAGTGTTTGGCAGAATACCAATCTGAATTTCTAAGCGAAACTTACTTGGAGTCACTTCTTCCCTCCCTTGAAGCCCCCCCCCATCCCCCCTCCCCCCAACCTCTCAGCCCTTCCATCCGGTAATCTCAGTTCTGCATAAACCAGAAGCTTGCTAATATTTATTTGATGTTGTCTAAGTCTTTGCTTTGTTTCTCTTAAATTTCTTAAAAAAATTAAAGATACTGAGTCAGGTACTTTGTTAACCCCTTTACAGGAGTCCTTTTAGCATTTCTGTGGAATTCCCACAGTTAATCTGGGCCGCCATAGTCAGACAGACTCAAAGTGGGCCAAAGCTTTTTTTTTTTTTCTTGTCAATTATATCCTGTTGTATAGGTGAGAAAACAGTGCATATTGTGGAGAAAATGAGATGCACCTTAAGATTTTCTTCTACGTTCACGTGATCTTCTAGTATATTATGCTGTGTGTAGCTAATATAGATGGCCCCAAGTCATTTATTTCAATGGTTTATCTTTTGATGACTTACAGAATTTACAGTCGCTAAATCTACAAAAAATAAAAGATTTCATGGTTATAAATCATAATACTCAAACTGAAAGTTGCACTTCAGAGTTTGCAGAAGTTGCCTTCATCAATCTTTAATTTCTTAATACCACAGATTGTTTCATTTTAAACGAACCCTAAGGTTAAGTATTTCATGCAAATCTGTGCCTGAATATTTTGTCTGAGAAGCTGATTACTAAAGCTTTGTTTTCAAATATCTAGACTGTAATGAGGCAATGCAGAGTTGGCAAGATAGTTTGGAATTACAAGCAGGGTGATTACGGGATGTGTGTTTTCAGACATTGTCTTGAATTTTTGCCATGGGATGATTTCTGAATTATAGAGTAGGAAGAGGACACCTTAGTAGAGATTATCTATTTTGTTGACTTGAAAATTGAGAAATCTGAGTTAAGGAAAGTGAAAGCAGTTACAGACTGAAGCTGTATGCCTAAAGAAAGAGCTATGTACCTAAGAGCTCCAGAAATGTGATTAGGGGTTACCATGAGTGTTTGGCTGAATACCAATTTGAATTTGTTAAGTGAAACCCTGTGAAGGTTAGACATGAACAGTTTGTAACACAGCACTCACTGGAGATTCGCATGACTACTTCCCAGTGCTTACACAGGTTAACAGTCACTTGAGTTCTCTGTCCAGATCTAAGAGTTCATCGACTACCTGGACAAGTGAATAGAATGGTGAAGTGGGGCTAAATTAACCTGAGAAGGAGGCTATTTGGAGAAGCATTGCACTAGTAGGCATATTGCTTATTGTTTCGGGGGGGGGGATGGGGGAAATCTCGAGCAGAATTTCTCAACCTTGTCACTAATGTCATTTAGCATGAACAATTCTTTGAGGGGACATATAGAATATTTAGAAACATTTAGAAATATCTGTGGGACCAGAGAAATAGTGCATCAGGTAAGATGCTTGCCCTGCATGGCTGACCCAGGTTTGTCACCAATATGGTCCCCTGAGCACAGCCAGAAAGCTGAGCACAGCAGGGTGAGGCCGCTGATTTCTACCGACTAAAATTCACTCCCATTTTTAAGTTGTGGCACCACAAAGAATCTTATACATAGCTGTATATCCCTTGCTCCACAAAATCACTCTAGGTTGAGAGTCACTAATTTTAATGGAGTGCAACACAATCTAAGTATCAAACTGCATCAAGTAAAAAGAATTACTATATTAACTAGTGAAATGGATCCATCACAATCCAAAGCAAAATGTAGTTAATAAAAGGAAACTCAAGACTGTTGTAATTATTAGCCAGGGTTATTAAAATAGTTGTAGTAAATATGCTTTGCTTGCTCAAGAATGTAATAAAAATCACCATGAGGGAGTAGGAAGTATCAAAGAAGAATCAGAGGCCAGGGAGGTAGCTCTAAGGGTTGGAGCACATGCTTAGAGCTCTCATAGCCCGGGGTTTGACCCCCAGCACCACAGGCCTTCTGAGCATCGCTGGCTGTAGCTCTCCTGCTGTCCAGCGCAGTGCGGGAGGGAGTGCCCACCCCTGTCCCCCTGTAAGAGCCAGGTAGAATTGCTGGAGATAAAAAACATTTTACCTGAAGAGATTTCACATGAAGTTTTAACAGACAACAAAGAAAAATCATTGAACTTGAAAACGTGACAGTAAGATTCATCCAGAATAAATCACAAAGAATTTTAATGAAGGCAAAAAACTAAAGTAAATTTGGAACATATTAAATGCTCTAATATGTGAGCTTAACGATTCCTACATTCTGCTTTAAAAGATAGGAGCAGTCATGCAAAACTCTAGTAGGCTTGAAGTATATTTATTTAAACTCTAAAAATGTCAGATCTGTAGTAATGGAATAAAACTCTTAAGAGTTTTTGAGAGTTGGTGATAGGAATGGTTTAACAAGGCGATATGCCCTATGGGGTCACAAAAGTACTCTGTCTTGATTGATGTGGTTACATGGTACATGTATTTGTCAAAAATTATTCGAATGTCCCATTTGGAATGGTTCTGTTTTATTAGTAAGGAAACATTCTTTCAAAGTGTACTTTAAAATTTAGGACTGGGGAGATAGTTCAGGTGCTAGCCTAGCATTTGTGGTTCCTTGAATTTTATCTCCAGCGTGGTATCTTCCTGTACTCCCCCAACTCCCAACTGCTTGGTGTGGCTTTGTGACCCCCCCCACTCCCCCCCACCCCCGCATCGAATTTCTAGACTGGACAGTACCATAAGTAACCTTGCTCTCCACTAGATGTTGGGTGGAGATATTAAAATAGATATTGTAAATATAATATTTTATATAAAATACTCGGGTTGGCCATGTTGGCTGCGTGCAAGGCAAACGCCCTACCTCTGTGCTATCACTCCAGCCTTTTACTTTTATTGACTGACTTACTATAAAATACAGTATAAAAGTATGAAAAATGTGGTTTCGACTAATATTAAAAGTGATGAACACTGTACTTAGCATACTTCCTAAACTCACAAAGTATTTAACCATCTCTAAAATACTCTTGGACCGGAGAGTTACAGCACCACTTCGTGAGAGCATGCTTTGTTGTGGGGAGCATGGGTTTAGTCCTGGAACCATCTGGTTCCCTGAGTGCTTGCTGAGCCAGCCATAGCCCTGAGCACTGCTTAGTGCGGCCCCCAAACCCAAAGTGAAAGAAACTCCCACCTTAGATGTATTTGTTATCTACTCCTTTTTAAGCCTGAGACTAAAATGTTTTAAGACTGGTTTCAGGCTAAGGATTATTATTATTATTTTTTTTTTTTTCTTTTTGGGTCACACCTGGCGATGCTCAGGGGTTGTTCCTGGCGCATGCACTCAGGAATTACTCCTGGCCATGCTCAGGAGACCATACGGGATGCTGGGAATCAAACCCGGGTCAGCTTTGTGCAAGGCAAACGCCCTATCCGCTGTGCTATCTCTCCAGCCCCCAGGCTAAGAATTTTTGAAATTAGTATTTCACTTATTAAGCCTACTTAAAATTTTATTGTTTTGAATGTTGGGAAAGTAGAAAGAATACCTTACTTATTTGGATATTTTATACTTGGGTTATTCAGCCTTTTTCTGTAGTTTTTTATTAGGGTATGTGGAATGTAAACATTGTGGAAGGGGAATGTCAAGATTTTCATAATTTTAATTACAAGTTTTTCTTTCAGAAACTGTTTTGACTGGGCCTACCTCACCCTCTCTGGGGAATGGAAGTGAAACTACACCTGGATCGGCTGCACAGCCAAAGAAAATTCGAGGAATTGGATTTGGTGATATTTTCAAAGAAGGCTCTGTGAAACTTAGGACACGAACATCCAGTAGTGAAATTGAAGAGAAAAAAGCAGACAAGGTAGTAATAATAAATTTGCTTAGAATAAATTGATATAACTGGTTTTTAAGCATTTTAAAAATGTAAAAGTAGTTTATAACTTAGTAATTTTTTATTAATGAGAAGACTCAAAATGTTTTTAAATTTACAGTGATAAATGTGTTTGACTTCACAGTTCTTAACAGTTTTTAAAATAAATTTAATACGAGCTTGGTAGATACATTTAAAAAAGTTTTAGTTGCCACAGGGTAAAATTAGAAAAGACAAAGTTTTCTTACCTTTTAAAAGATAAATTTTTATATTTTTGTTTCTTAATCTTAAAAATTTCCAGTGAAATACTTTATTCTGGATTTTCAGCTGTGCTGAAATTTACTAATAATTACTAATTGGTAAGACTAATTTTTTGGAGTATTTGTTACATTTAGCATTTTATTAGTATTTTTAAAACAAACGAAATGTTCTGTAGATTATAAGGTTAATAAGAGATTAGAATAAATCCATAAATTTTTTTCTTGAGGCGAAATAATTGGTGGGCCAGAGAGAAAGTAGTTAAGGCTCTTGGCCTTGCGTGCAGCTGACTCCAGTTGATCCGTATACCACTTATGGTCCCATGGGCCCCGCCAGGAATCATCTTTGAGCACAGAGCCAGGAGTAACCCCTGAGCACCCACCACCAGATGTGGCCCAGAACAAAAACAAAAACTTGTTCATACTGTTAGCACCGTGAAGTCAGATTGACTTCTTTACTTCTGATGAGATCTTTCTACTTATTTCTAGGCACTGTTTCCCTTTTGTTGTCCTTTGTATCTAATTATTTTAAATTTTCAGCATTCAGGCTATCCCAGTATTTACTTTTTTTTATTAGCCTTACAAAAAAGCCAGGACTCAAAAAATTAGATAAAAACTCATAATTATTCTTCTCCATGGAAATCTTTAGTAGGATCTGAAGAGAAACCAGAGCATCCAGTATTTGTTTTTATAGCTTGTTTCATTTTGTTTTTTTTCGGTTAGTGAAATATATTCTGAAGTTTTTTTCAAGTAATCTCAATATTTTTCTTAAGTTACTTGCCATATTTTGGAATTTTGGGGGTCACATCTGGCAATGCTCAGGGTTTATTCTTGACTCTGTGTTCAGGAATTACTCTTGGTGGTGTCCTGGGGACTCTCTGGGATGCTGGAGAATGAACCTGGTCCAGGTGCAAGACAAGTGTCCTACCTGCTCTACTGCCTTTCCTGCCCACTAGTTTGATATTTTCTAATGTAATAGTGATTTTTATTAAGAAAAGAGAGCTTTTGTCTGCCCTGTTCTCTTGACTATGAGACAGCCAATCACTGAGGTTATGGGATGTAATTGACTATTAATTTTGAAGATAAAGATGGAAATACTCATGACTTTTGGAATCATGCTATATAACCATATAATAAAGAATGTTAGGAAAGTAAGATCAACATCACAACTTTACTGTGATAATTTGTGGCCCTTTCAAAATCTAAAGCTTATGATTATGCTGAGAAAAATTTAATAGTTGTGCTAATAGTTTTTCAGTTTACATTTTTAGTGTCCATTTTTAACTAGTATATTTTTAACTAGTTAAGAGAAGTCTCAGCTTTAAACTTGCTTTTAAAGATGTTTTGAAGTAGAAAAAGGTTATTTTAAAAACAAAAAATATTTCAGTTACTGATTTATTTGGTAAACTAGGGAATATGCTTGTTATGTTTGTTAGGAGACATCAAATTGGGAGTTGTGATTAGTGAAATCACTAAAGTGAGTATCTTAAAATCGACAATTATAAGTAGATGTTCTAATAACAGTTATGAATGTTCTTATTTTTAATTACTGAACTCTAAGATCAGCTGTATTATTTCTGGGGGAAAACTCATATAAAATGCTAGTATAAATAGAGTCAATTACAATGGCAAGGCGTGTCTTTAGTTCTGAGGAATAGCCTGGATGTTTTTGTTTCGAGAGCAGCATTGACTTTTATAAAAGACTTTTCTTTCCTGTTTCATTTAAAGATGGTAGAACTTTTTTATGAGTCATTTTTGTAAGAAATTTTTTTATAAGACTAGAGTCATTTGTAGATTCAGATTTGAACTCCACAAATGGACAGTTTCCCCTACTTCTTCTTAATATACAAAAGAAGTGAATAGTAGTGCATACTTTATGCAGATTGCATTGAGAATTATGTATTATTAGTTTATGTAAAACTTAGCCCAGGAATTCATACGTGGTGAAATTTAAGGTGCTTCTTTGCATCTTAGATCCCAAAGTTAACTCACATTGCTATTTATGGAGTGCCAAAATAGGATTTTTATGCTCAATATAGGAAGTTTTAGAAACTGGAATTTCTGTGTTAATCATTTCAGTACTTAATGAGCTCTTTATCATTTTTCAAAAATGGATTTCCAGTCTGATTACTCACCTGACTCTTAACTACTTTCCCCTAAGTTCCATTCAGGAAGACTGAATCACTATAAGTGGAAACTTTGATAATAGTGACTTTTATTCTAGTTTAAAATGTTTGATGCTGTTTTTTTCTGTTCTAGCCTTTAATCATGTCGTCTCTAAGTCCTAAAACTCAAAATGTGGAGATTGCTAAAACAGACACTGAAAGTAAAATTAAAGGTAGGTTCTTAAAAAGATGAATGAGGTCCTGTGGTTTAACAATGTTGTTGATGATTTCCCCAGTAGTAATTCCAGCTCAGCACCTCTCACCATTGTTCCTCCCTGGATCCTCCGAAGCTCTTCCCTTTCAACCCCCCTCCTTCCAAACTCAGTTGTGTGGATTGGTTCTCTTCTTGTCAGAGTTGCCTTTGCTTTGACTCTTTGTTGCTGCTTTGCTTGTGTGTCTGTAAGTCCCACATATGAGTGAACTCACTCTATTCCTTTCCTCCTAACTGACTTCATTCACCACGATATCCTCTAGTTCCTCCTTGTTGTGGCAGAATTGCATGATTTGAGTAAAGGTAGGTCGTTGAACAGAATTTTCATACTGGGAATGAAGAGTGCTGAACTATATTGTCACTGAAGTTGTTACTGTACATAGAATATTAAATCCTTCTTGATGTATCATCACTAATGTTAAAGCTGTATGAAACTTAGTAGGCATTTAATAGCAGGTATTTGGGGGCTGGAGCGATAGTACAGTAAGGCATTTGCCTCCCATGTGTCTGACCCAGTTTCATCCCCGGAGTCTCATAATGGTCCCCTCAACACTGCCAACAGTAATTCCTGAGTGCAAAGAGAGGAGTAACTTCCTGAACATTGCCAGGTAGGCCCCCAAGTAAACCAACAAAAATAATAGCAACTATTTGAATGCTAATTCAATATATAATACTAGGTCAGAATTTAATTTTTAAGATTTAAAGATGAACTATGGGAGTGATAGTACAGCAGATAGGGCATTTCCCTTGCTTGTGGCCCACCCGGGTTTTTTATGGTACCCTGGGCACTACCAGGAGTAATCCCTGAGCATTGCTGGGTGTTCCAAATACCAAAACCAAAGTAAGATTAATTACACACTTGATATTTCTCCTGTACCAGGATAGAATAGGCAACCTCAGTAGTATCTCAAGTGCAATTACTTTAGCAGACTTGGTTCCTTCACATCAGTTAATGATCGAATTTACAGCTTACTTTTAATAGCATCTAGTATATGTTTATTTACATAAAATAGACTTACGTAAATGCGTTGAATCAGTTTATGTAAGCTACATATTTACGTTTTTTAATTTTAGCTAAGGAATATTGTAGAACGTTATTTGCTTATGAAGGTACGAATGAAGATGAACTTACTTTTAAAGAGGGAGAGATAATCCATTTGATAAGTAAGGTAAGATATTTCTCACTTTTCCAGTGAATTACTTAATTTATTCCTAAAAATAGTTCGTAAAATTCTTAAATTTGCCTTGGATTATAAATTGTTGAAGAAAGAACGGGGGCTTTTTTTGTTTCTGTAGCCTGAGAATCTGAACCATACATAGTACTCAAAACGCTTATTTTAATTATTAAATTTAATTTTAGGCACTGTGGTGGTTTGCAGTACTTTTACTGATAGGGTTTCATGCATGACACATTCTAGCACCACATCCTTCGCCAGATTGACCACTTTCCTCCACTGTTTCCCAGGTTCCTTTCTCAATCTTTTCGACCCTCTCCCTCACCCTTTTCTCACGGTCTTTGTTTTTAACCATCATTTTATCTTTCCTTGAATAACTCCTGCCCCCTGCTTTTCTCTGTTTTCATTTGTTGCATTTCATGTTTTCTCATCTACCATTTATCTTATTTTTAAAACGATATATCTTATTTATATACAAACCTGGACTGAGGCATTCTATGTTTTCTTATGTACTATATATATGTATATATATAAATATATTTATACACCTATAAGAAAAGAGAAAAATGGAAAACTTAAATTTCCACCAGTTATATAAGTAGTAATGAAATTTCATACTGTGGAAAGCGAAGCAGCAACTTCAGACAATTAGCTATCTTTCTTTTTTTTGCAGTGCATCTACCTCAAAATCCTAGTAGCTTTGGGCATGGGTCAAATGCTGCAATGTTAGTAATAAAGGAAAATCATAAATTTTGTTTGTTTTTAGATAATTTGGTGTCTGTAACAATTCATATTCATATGGCTTGATAACACCTAAATTCTCAGGGAGTCATGGTATTTGGAGGAGATTGTAGATGTCTTGTTAATTTCTAAAGCAAATGAATGATTGATTTTTTTGTGTGTGTAACAAAGCGTTGAGAAAAAATGTTAGATAAGACAGTCATGGTATTTGGAGGAGATTGTAGAATGTCTTGTTAATTTCTAAAGCAAATGAATGATTAATTTTTCACATAACAGTGTTGAGAAAAATGTTAGATAAGATAGTTTGAAAATTCATATTCTCTGTTTTCTCTTTTCCCACTTGTTTTCTTCCTCTTGAAATGTGTTATCTTGTAGATTAATTTAAAATTTTTCTGACTTAAAAATTAGAGCTATTTCTGTTAATACTGCAAGTAATAGCGTGTGGGAAATATTATCTTTTAGGAGGACTTCATGATCTGTCTAGTTAGGTCTTTTTCTTTTCCTTTCTAAAATCAAGGGGACTCAAGGATGGAGCGGGTAGGTGGTTTGCTTTGCACATGGCTGGCCCATGTTTGATCCCAGCATCCCACATGGTCCACTGAGCACTGCCAGAAGTAATTCCTGAGTGCAGAGCCAAGAGAACCCTGAGTAACATTACACCAGGTGTGACTCAAAAAAAACAAAAAAAATTAAAATAAGAGAAGTCAGTATTTTTCAGTCTTAGAATCCTTCCTTTTTAAAGCTAATTCATATTATTTATTCTGTATTTTAGGAGACTGGAGAAGCTGGCTGGTGGAAGGGTGAGCTTAATGGTAAAGAAGGAGTATTTCCAGACAATTTTGCTGTTCAGATAAATGAATTGGATAAGGACTTTCCAGTAAGCTTTTATTTTTTTAGAGAATGTGTGTGTGTGTGTGTGTGTGTGTGTGTGTGTGTGTGTGTGTGTGTACACACACATTTCTCCACTTCCCTTTCTTTTTAATGATGCTGTTACAATGACTGAAAGTTGCACGCATGCATGGCTATTCTGCTCTTACATTTTTGGCTGTTGTGCGCAATGGGGACTGCACGTTGTGTTGCACTGCTCACACAGTCAGTTGCACTGCATACCAGGGTTTGAACTCCACTCAGTGCTTGCACTCTTAGTTGAGGCACATAAGTTATCAGCATCCCCGCAGAACTCACATGTATGCTCACTAGAGGTCACACTTCCTGGCCTTGGTGCATGCACCTCTTTTTCAGTTGTGGGGGATTGGAACTCATGACTATATGCTGTTAACAGAAGTACACTCAGCCCTGAGTAGTGTTTTGTTTCTTTATTTTTTTTTTGGTTTGTTTTTGTTTGGGGCCACATGGTCGCTTAGTGGCTATTCCTGACGCTGTGCAGAGTGACCCTGATGGTGCTGGGTGGTCGTGCACGTCCTAGGCAAGTGTCTTACTCTCTATGCTGTCTTTGGCTCTTTTACTGGCATTTTTATGGTCTGATCTCAGATTTATAAATTCACGTAAAAGTTATTTTTTAATTAGGGTGAAGTGAAGCAATAGTTCAGTTCTGTGCTCTTTTTTAAAATTCCTGGTTTTATTTCTCTGGTGACTTTATTGAAAACATTAGACCTCATCACCTTATTATAATTAGAGAAATATAAGCTAGCCATGCTACTTATGAGAATCAGCACTTTCTTGCTAGAAATATTTTTATCACATTAAAAATCTTAAGGTACATTTGAGTTTCCTATTTTTCTCCCAGAACATTTTTGGAATGATAAGAACAAGCCTTTGCCTTCTTACAGGATTTGTTATCTCTCCAGATGTTACATTTAATAAGGCTAAGCTGAGTCATACTTTGTTATTTTGTATTTTTTTTCAATTTGATTCCAATTTTTCTTATGGAGCAATGGATTTGAGTTTTTAAGGTAGAGGAAAGAGACGTAAACACATAGAGAACATATACACATTACAAAACTGCTTTATGTGATTACGTTAATTCATAAATTAACTTAAATCACTCACCTTTGCAAGTCTTCTGTTTAGATTTATAAGTTTCCAAGCTGCTATATAGAAAGGTTTACGCTGGCTAAGACTCTTCTTGATTTCATTCAGTAGTGACTCAGCCTATAGTCTGCTTTGTTTTTGTCTCTTTTTTGGTTTCTTTTTGTGGGGGGCCACACCCAGTTGACTCCTGGCTCTGTGCTCAGGGATCAATTCCTGCTGGGGCCAGGGGACCAAATGGAGTTTCAGGAATTGAGCTTGTCGGCAGCATGCAAAACAGGTTCCCTGCCTGCTGTACTCCTTCTTCAGCCTTATTTTTATTTTTTAATGTGAACACATTGGGGGGTGGGAGGGAAGAGGGCTTTCATTAGTATTTGTACAGTATTGATAATCAGTTGTTTTTCCTTTGGAGAACTCAAGCTCCCCTATTTAGAAATGTCTCAAGATATTTAAGGTATTCAGTTGTTCTGAATATCAGTGAATGCTTAATTAAGCCTTAGGGAATTTATGTAATTTTACAAGACCAGACAGTTGCTTTTAGTCCCTTGGATAGTTCTGACGACTCCAGAGGGAACAGCTAAGTAAATTTAGTTATATGTATTTTAAACAGAGGTTCTCTTTGCCACCCCTCATTGACTCAAATACAACTGTAAAATGGGGGTAGAATAGAATCTCTTTTCCCCACCCCACCAGTTTTTGGGCCACTTCGAATTTTTGGACCACTCAAAGCTTATTTCTGGCTCTGTCCTCTAGGATCGCTACTGGCAGTGCTCAAGAGACTGTATTTGGTGTCAGGGATTGAACCTGGGTTATCTGTGTGCAGGGGCACTGTCTTTCCAGCATTGGATAGCAATCTTATGTTAGGACAAGCAGGGTAAAATACATTTGCTCATCATTAAAAGTTTTTCAGGTTTATTCTGCTGAATGAAAATTTAAAATGTTTCTGTGTGGATCAAGGAGGCATTTTCTCCAGTAGAATACTTTTTTTTTGTCAGCGGCGCTTTGTGAAGTTGTTACATCCTTAGATTTTGTAATTTTTGGCAGGAATTGGATGACAAGATGTAGTTTTAATAACTAATAATTATGAATGTTTAAAATTTTCAATTTTATTAACATGTCAGTAATTATTTTTATCATTAAATTCTAGAAACCAAAGAAACCACTGCCTCCTGCTAAAGGTCCAGGTATGTAAGAAACGCATGATTCACATTGCTATTTTTCAAAATCTTTGCATTCTGAAGTGGTGAAATTGGTCTAAAGTGGTGAAACTGGATTTTATAAATCCATAATTTTCGTGAGCAAAACCAAGTATGATATGCCACATGTGCACAGATTTTTAGAAATACGAAACTTGAGTGTTTTTAATATACTTTTTGTCTACCAATAATGTATTTTAAAAACAAGCCGTAAAATAGTTGACATGTTTTCATCTTGTAATTTTAACCAACTAATTTTTAATACTATGATTATCTCTGTGCTACAAAACTACTTCTAAAAAACATTATTATTTTTTTTAAACCCCAAGCTCCAAAACCTGACTTGATAGCTGCAGAAAAGAAAATGTTTTACTTAAAGCCTGAAGAAAAAGGTGAGCCTAATCCTTCTAGGTTCAGAAAAAATAATTTTGACTTTCATTGTATGCTATAAAGAAAAACATTACTTCCATACTGAGTCATTTGCACCAACTTTTAACAGGTTTCAGTGTTTGCTTTTTAGTGCTTGAAGTTTTCTGGGTGGGAATAATACTACGATCAAAATGAAATTAGAATTAAAACAATACATCACCTAAGTGCTGATGTATTTAATCAAAAGTATTATTTCAAATGTATAAGGAAACTTAAGCACAAGGTATACATTTGTTATTTTTATAGTTTAGTTCAAATAAAATTTGAAAATATTTTCTTCGTGCTATTTTGTTGGCCCCTGTGGCGCCTCATGTTTGATTTCTGACCATCTTCCTCCCTGACCTCTGCTAGTGGGGCCCTGGGACCTAAAGCAGTGATTACTAAGCATCGAACTGATAGGCCTACATCATTCTTCCAAGAAAATAATCAAGTCATTTTCTTCGCTGCCGGTTACTTGGTTCCAGAGTAGACTACAGTATGCCTTTGATTGCATGAGACTCCAAGTTCAATTGCTGGCCTGCCCTCCTCCATTTTCTTTTCTCCCTTCCTTCCTTCCTTCCTTCCTTCCTTCCTTCCTTCCTTCCTTCCTTCCTTCCTTCCTTCCTCCCTCCCTCCCTCCCTCCCTCCCTCCCTCCCTCCCTCCCTCCCTCCCTTTGCTAACAGTGAATTCCTATTTAAAATATGGACATGATTATGTGTTTATTTTCACTACAAGTATCGTCAATTAAAAATTGTTGAACACGGGATCAGAGATTATACAATGGTTAAGCTGCTTGCCTGGCAGGTGGTTGACCCTGGTTTGCTGCGTAAGGTCCCCCAAGCACCTCTAGTACTGACACTTGAGCATCTCTGGGTATGACCCCCCAAGCAGAAGAAGTTTTGTTGAAATCACTGGTTACATTAGTTTGGAGAAAATTCTTAAACATTGGTTGTCTTTAATGGCTTATGCTCCTACAAGAACGTGAATGTTTTAAGATTGTTGTGTTTCTACTACCAGCATTATTTCTACCGCCAGCCTTGTTTCTTGCCAAAAGAACATTGACTATATTCTTAACTAGTCTATCACTTCAGTCACAGTGTTGCCAGATTCATTTTTCAAATTCACTTTTTTAAAGTATAATTTTCATAGCAAAATTAAAAAATAAGTGTACTTGTGTATGCAAACTCTGTCAGCAACACCCTTCACCGAATTTGTACATTTATTACAATCAGTGTACCTAAAATAGTATAACTTCTATTGAATCATTATCAGCCAAAATTTATGGTTAATATTGTGATTCATTCTTGGTATTGAACATGTTACAAGTATGAACAAATGCTTAATTTGACACATGTAGAATTGTATCATACAGAGTTATCTCGTTGCCTTAAAAATTCTCTTTGTTTTTCCTTTTTATTTCTTCTCCCTTAGCCCCGATAACTTCTGATCGCTCTATTTTTTTATAGTGTTGCCTTTCTCAAAATGTTGTTCAGTTGCATGGTGTGTAGCATTTTTATAATGACTTCATTCATTTTGTGGTATTTATGTATGTAAGAGTCTTTTCATGTTTTTTGGCTTTATAAAGCTAAAAGGTAAAGGCCCTCCCGTTGATCATCGATTTGCTCGAGCGGGCCCAGTAACGTCTCCATTGGAGACTTTGTTGTTACTGTGTTTGGCATATAGAATACGTCACGTGGAGCTTGCCAGGCTCTGCCGTGCGGGCGAGATACTCTCGGTAGCTTGCCGGGCTCTCCGAGAGGGGCGGAGGAATTGAACTCCGGTCGGCCATGTTGGCTGTGTGCAAGGCAAACGCCCTACCGCTGTGCTATCGCTCCACCATAGCTAATTTTCTCTAGGCAGTACTAATATTAGTATTTCAATGTTTACATGTACTATTGTTTGTCTCTGTACTGAAGAACATCTTAGTTATGTTCAAGTTTTAGCAGTTAGGACTGTAGCTTCTATAGATACTTTTATACATATTTTCATATAGATATACATTTTTAATTTAGGTAACAACCAAGGAGTGTGATTATTATAGATCATGTGATGAGTATGTTTTGTTTTGTAAGATCATTAAACTCTCTTCCACAATTGTCTGTTCCATTTTGCATTCCCACTAATTATGAATGAGAACTCTTGTTCCACATTCTGGTCACCACTTGGTGGTATCAGCAACTGACCCCCAAATTATATTTTTGATAGCATTTTCTACACCTTTTTTGCCCTCTAAATTTAGCATCTACTCTTGCAGTAGAAAGGTTATGTGCACCTTTATCTTTCTGTTATGGTTTGTACTCACCATAGGTTTTATATTCCTTTTTTGTAATATTGAGAAATTTTGAATTTATTATACAAGAATGACATGTTGAGTAAAATTGTTTCCTGACTCAGATTAGTTCTTTTGTGTTGCTGTATTAGCTCCAGATCTTAAGTCAGTGTCTTTTGTTGTTGTGTGTGGGTTTGTTTGTTTTTTTAAAATTTTGTGGGGGGGGGGGTCACACCGGGCAGTGCACAAGGATTACTCCTGGTGGTGCTTGGGGGACCATATGGGATGCTGGCAAATGCCCTACCCGCTGTGCTATCGTTTCAGTCCCTGATCTTAAGTCAGTTTATTCCATTACTTGTTGTATCTGTCCCATAAAAAATATATGTATTTTGATAACAACTAAATATGGCAAGTGTATTGCCGTATTCATTGTCTACATTATGATTTATGAGGAGTTTAAAATTTAGTGATTTCCATTCCCTGATACCAGTCTGTTAATCTTATAAACAAAGTGGAAGGGTGTGATGTGTTTCTATTACTTCTATCTGTCAGAAATCCTAGTCCGGATAAAGTAGTAGGGATTTGCTCTACTGAAGTAAAAGACTGTACAAAAGACAGCAATCAGCGAATTTTCAGACATTGAACAACAATTAGCATAGTACTGTTATCACTGAGAAAAGGGAAACTAATGAGGTAAGCACTAAAATTACTCTAGCTTATTGTCTATAGACAATAGTTTATGGACATTGGGAAGGAGAAAGCTAATTGAAGCCTGTTTTTCCTGCAGTCAAGGAAGTAAGAGATAAGAGTTTAAGGAAGCAAAGGCAGTTTCAAAATTTGTGGGGCAGACTGCCAGATTGGAGGGAGCTGCACACTTAAAGAACTCAGGTCCTTATAGGATTTACTGTAGAACCTTGGCTACTGTTGAACTATATACACATGGAAGGAAATGTACATAATTGGATAAATAATGCCTAATAACATCTAGTGAAACATTTCCTGGAACTCCCAAAGAATTTATGTTTCCACATGCAAGCTATGGTAGGAAGACCTTATAAGGCATTAGCAAGTCCATAAAAGGTTATATGGACTAAAGACTTAGTCCTTAGACTAAAGACTAACCTGCCCCAAGGTTAGTCAAACTAACTAATTTCTTAATATAATTGAGAATAATTTAAGAGAATATAATAAAAATCTAGTACCCACATGTAATGTGTTCATCGTGTCCTTTATAAAAATTTACCAGGTGTGGAAATTAGGAGAAAATAGCAACACATAGCCAGAAGAAAAAAAATTACTTAATTAACCCTAGAAATTGTAAAAGTAATAGAAATAGCAGGCAAGAAAAGAACACTAAAACAGCTATTACAGATATACCCCATAGTTTCAAGATAGCAGAGGAAAATCTGAACTTTTTTGGTGGAGAAATGCCAAAATATTAAATGCCCAACTTGGACTTTTGGAGATTGGAGATACAGGATCTGAACTGGAAAACAGGTGAACTGATTAGCAGATTAGAGGCTATCTAGAAGAAAGTAATTGTGACCTAGGTGACAAAGCAGTAGGTACTTTACACAGTGTATCAGCTGCATGCTGACCCAGTTTTGATCTCAGGCATCCCATGTGGTCCCTCCAGCCTGCCAGCAGTGATCACTGAGTGCAGAGCCAGGAGTAAGCCCTGAGCACCACCAGATATGGCCCCCAAAACAAAGATTCACAGCAAAACAAAACAAAACAAAGATTCACAGCTTCAGCCATCACCTTTACGCTGCTGATTCCAATTCAATTTAGTTCAGTTTATTCATACCTTACCAGACCTGTCTTTATACTTCCCTTTGTATTCCCTGCTTTCTGCTTAAACTATATATCAGTTTTTGATGGTGGGAATATCTGACAATATTCAGGGCTTACTCCTGTTTCTTTGCTCAGGGATCACTTATGGTGATCACTCATGGTGATACTTGGGGGATCATAATGTGATACAGGGAATTGAACTTGATTGAGCCATGTACAATGCAAGCTCTCCACCCACTGTACTATCAACCCAATCTCTGAAATAGTTATACTTTTAAGAATTTTTAATGAAGTTAGGACAAGCTTTTCTTATATTTCTCTCATTCTTAAAATATATTTTGCCTTATGTTGAATGCTCTAAGTTGGCAGAACATTATGCTGTGTACTGCATAGTAGGAAATCTTTAGGTACCTTCTTTTTGTCTGCTTAGGAATGTAGTAGAAATACTATGATTTTTATTATTATTTTGGATTTTGGCCCTCACCCAGTGATGCCCAGGACTTACTCCAGATTCTGTTCAGAAATTACTTCTGCTGGTGCTTAGGGAACCATATGGGATGCCACTGATCAAACATGGGTCAGTTGTGTGCAAAGTATGTGCCCTACCTGCTGTAATATTGCTCTGGTCCCAGAATGCTACAATATATTAGAAATAAAAAGTTCGTGAATTTTCAGGCCAGGATATAAATAGTATAATAGTTTGGATATGTGCCTAGCAAGTGCCCAACCTGAGTTTGATTTCTGGTGCCAGATTTTTCCCCAAGTATTGCTGGGTGCAGCTCTGGAGACCCCTAGCATCACGAGGATTGCCAGGGTGTCCTCTAAGCACTGTGGATACTGAGCAGCGTTGCGTCCTTGGGCCCTGGTGCAGAGCCTGTGGCCTGGATGCTCATGGATTACCAGTGTGTCATCTGAATAGC